TGACTGTAGCTCCGGACTTGTAGTTAGAATGTAGATTTAGTGATATGAAATTACCACATAAGTATAGTTGGGTACTTATAGATTGTTACATGAATATGTACAGCCAATACACTTTCCAATCTCCACTGTCTAACCTCCATTCATCATATTCCTTTTATCTTAATTAAACTATGGCAATCCCTTCTATATAAATAGTGCTTATTTGCAGTTTGAGATTGTCTGATGTTTATTCTAACTTACAATGACTATCTAATTTTTTCAATGCTATTTTTTTTAAATACTATTATATTTGTACTTATTGCCAATGTTCATTCATTTATACATATWCATAACAATATCATTGTTTTAAATATTTTTGCAGTACATAACACATATAAGAATTTTTATTTTTATAGTTTGAAAAATATAAAATTGTACAACTTAAATAGATTGAAATTAGTATAAAAAWTTTTTAATTAATCAATTTTTAGAATCAGCAATGGGCTACATAATGCATGGAATACTCATGAACATATATCCAGTTCTAATATGCAACCAATGCTACTCCCAAGATCAACAATAAGTTTAGATAAAGATCATGGTAAATTTTGTGTTAATTATTAAAAAATATATTTGTTAAATTAACATTGTTAATTATTTTACAGTAACTTATCCTAAAGACAATGGTGTATTTTTTAATAATAATTCAAATTCTACAAATTTGCCATCCAATCATGAATTGTCAAGTAAGATTATTGATCAAGATTCCACGTCTAAGTATAGAGACAGGTATACAATTTAATATTTCATAATAAATTGTAATATTATGCTTTTTTAATAGATTARAATTGAATGATTTAATATTTTATGATAACAGGTTTGGAAGTTTAGACAGGCGACATACTACTAGAAGTTCTAGTTCTCGAAGTAATAGTAGTGTTGATCATGAACCTCCTGCTGTTCCTGTTGTACCGCGACACATAAATTCACAGCATCCCCCAACTACTGTTTTATTACCAAATCAAATGTACCCAGAAAATAGTTTGATGAGAACTCACTCTCTGGGTAATATTAAAAATGAAAATCAACAACAAGCAGAAAAAGGATTTACAGATTTAAATCAGATATCGTTGTCTGAAAGTAGAAAAAGTTCTGAGAAAAAATGGATTGAAACATCATTAGATAGTAGTAGTAGCGTTGAGTCTGGACCAACACTTACCCATGATTTACCGCCTCCTATTAAAATGCATACACCTCCAATACAACCTGAAAATCATCCACTTCCGTACGACCCACTAGTCAATCATTTTGACACTGTAATTATTTTATATTTTTTTGTTATTAAATCCAAATAATTATGCATTTAAATATAACTTTTTTTATTAGGTTCCATTTGAATCACCAAAAAATCATACGGTTGTTCAGGTTGGAAAGTGGCAACCGTATCGTGAAGTAACTAAACCGTTTGAAATGTCTGATTTTTATAAGTACAGTACAAGATTTAGGAAACCATCTGCAAATTCTAATAGTGCATCTCCAGAAATTATTCAAGCTACAGCCAATCCATCACCAACACCATCTTTGCCACCACAACCAGCATTACAAAATAAAGGAATTTATCAACCTTTACAACCTCACAATTGTCATCCACTAGTACCTCAGTAAGTTAACTCGCTATTTTATATTTCAGTATAAAATATAAAATTAAAAATACATTTTATTTTACAGAAACATTTCAATGATGGAAGAAACAGTCTGTCCCATTGATTCATTTGAACCCAATAATGAATTATGTTTAGATGAAAGTGTATTTGCTAATGAAATGTTGTCTTGGTATCAAGATGAAGCTACACCCCAATCTAGGACTGCCACATTGGTATAATTTTAAATAATAGATAACTTAAACCTATTATGGTATATTTTTGCATTATGAATTTATGATAGGCAGCTAGAAGACGACCAATATAATATTATATATTATTATTATGCTTTTATTTATTTATTTATTTTTTTTTTTGATAATTTTAGTACAACATTAAATCTTTATAAACATACTTTAATATAAATGACAACAAAATAACAAAATTTTAATTGAATTAATTTGAACACTTAATGTATGACTATCATTTTTCATAATAATAGTTAATTTATTTTGTATTTYAGTATCATTTAACTGAAAAAACAAATTTTTCTTTAATAATTGTAATTTTATTTCTGTATAAAGATTTTTATATATAGATATTTATGAATGTGAAAATTAACTTACTTATACGTTCGTTTCTGGAAGAAATGATGATCACAATATTTTATGATTTATTATTGTATACAGTTCTAGTAATTAACTTAAATTTAATTTATCAAGACATCACACTTTTAAATATTTTATTTTAGTTTGCTTTACAAAAAAAAATTGTAGTTTTTAATACACATAACAAAATGCACTAGATAAATAAAATATGTATTGCTTAGTATTTAAATACATTATGAATGCAAATATATGTTAATAAAAATATCTGAGAATATTTAGTATAAGACAAGACTGAATGTTATGTGCAATTAGTCTAAGAGTTTCAGATGTATTTATACTTTTTTTTAACTTGTAAATGATTTTTATTTTAAAATACCATTATTATTGAGTAAAAATGTAAACACAAAAAGGTCATCTATTTTTTTTTTTT